AAAAAAATCATTTAGGATTTCACCTGAGTTCACATAATGAATGGATACTTTAACGTCCTCCCCGGCTTTTATGAAATGTCAACTGCAAAAGATCCTTCGTGTGTGGAAGCCCTGGGTTTCTCAAATTGTTTGGGGAAAGCACACCTCTAACTAGCCTGTCATGAATAAGGTGGAGAGGAAAAACCTGTTGCGTAATCTCATTTGCTGCGGGGTTCGTCGTGCTGTTCCCTTGAACCACGGGGAGGTGAGTTAAGGTGCAGGGCGTTTAAAGCGCAAGCTTTTGTTTACTCAGTGCTCTGGCTGCCACTTGTGCTTGAAAAGATCCTAAGTCAATACTTTACTCATAGGGGTGAAGGAAACCTATCAAACCTGTTTAGAAAATGACCAGGTATGTGTCTGTTTCTCTCTCCCCTTCTTTTTCTTCTCGGGGTGAAATGTACCATCCACGACTGTATTTTGGGAAAGACTGTCAACAAAATGCTGCTTTATGCCACTCACTTACTGTGGGACTGTCCCTTAGGCGACAACTGTTTACTCCGAAGATTTATTCTCTTTCATCTCCAGCGAGGAACATTTTTTAACGTTTTGAAACTTCAGGGGAAAACGTGAAAGAAGAAAGTCAGCAGAGTGAGTTAATGAATTAGAAAAACTCTTTCCTTTTTCCTGAGGAACCTGTGTATTGATAGACTCGCGGCTCCGGAGGCCCTAATTAATGGAGACTTGGGGAGTTCTATCTATGGGAAAGGCAGCAGGTTGGAGAGAGCAGTAAATGGAAAAAAGTAAGAATTCATGGCTTTGTGTAGGTATTTTAGTAAAAATGTGATAGGCTCTGTGACAGCTTTTTTTTAAGCTTTATAATCAAGTGGAATTTACTGAGATTGAGGACTAGGGGGGAACACTTTTTTAGTAGTATTTGTTAACATTTTATATTTTAAAGAATTGGCTCGCTAATCCCCGCTCAGGAGTTGTTTTTTAAGTAAACCATTTTGCACTTAGCCTACCCAAGTTCCACCTCTGGAGAGATCAGAAATGAGTGTTCATTCTTCATTCTGCTAGTCACAATGGTTAATGCCAGTCTCTGAAACCAAGTCAGTTCAAGTACTCGTAACCTACTTTCGTGTGTAAAAGATATAAACTGGTAGTCATGTTTGAAAATTTTTTATTTAAACCTCTAGTAGGACAGTAACTCAAAACAGTTAAATACACGACTTGGTTTAAATTGTACTTACTTTTTCGTGGGTGTCCCAGTTAGATATTACAGTTTTTTAGACTATGCATTATTGTGGAGGGGACAGGGGCTTGAGGTCCTGACGTGTTAAGTTTTGCCCCTTGACTTAGGTAAGTCCTTGTCCTTTGGTTCAGTTTGGTAAATGCCCAGAAGTCGTGCCAAATTGGGGCTGGGTCTGGGTCTCGGTGGCCAAAAGCTTAATGATAGTAACACTGACAAGGGGGCAAAGAGAAGATCTTATTAACCTAGTTCTTTTTCTTTTTTTTAACCTCATACATTTATTACCTCCCATGGTTGGGAATGGAGGCTGAGATCAGGGTTTAAGAGGCGATCTCAGGGCGTGTTGAATTTAGGCTGTGGTGTATGAGTTTGTTTTGATATTGTTTTTTATAAATTGCAGTATTGGGAATGGAATACAGTTTGGATTATGGGACATTAATCCAGCAGATACAGAGATATGCAGCATTCAGTTTTTTTTCTCCCAACCAATCATATTTGCCTACTAAACATTTGCCCCGGATGACTGTAATTAATCCTAGAAACCTAAGTTTTCTTGGAATATTTGACAAAAAGACATTCTATCCTGTGTTGAGACTAACCATTCTCTGGAGATCTAATGTCATTTAAAGTGTTTTGAGTTTCCAAGTGAAAGATATTTAAAATTTAAGAGATAAGTTAATATATGGTGAGCTGATTTGAATGACAATGCCAAGGAAAAGGGGAGCTAAGACAAGAGAAATACAAACCAGATTTTAGGATAAGTTTTATCATATTGAAGTGGGAAAGACTTCTTGGGCGGTGGGAGGGAGGGACCACAGTTGATGCTTGATTGACTTCCCTTTAAATTAAACTGCATCTAATTTAAAAACAGACATCTTTCATCATCAAAGAAAGCAAAATATAATTAAGTCATCAAACCTTGCTCCTCATGGTACATTCTAAAACCAGAACCCCCACTCCCTGATTTTTGTGTTGTGGATAATCTGATATTTTTATATATTTCCTTAGCCCAGATGATCAAGAGTTGGCTGTGGGAAGGGATGAGGTTATAAAGGTTGGCTGGATTTAAGGAAGGCTCAGGCATTAAGGTGAGGCCATTCTCAAACATAAACTGTTTGAGAAAGGGACTTAGGAATTTAATCAAAGAAATGACTGGAGGAAATACAGAGGAGTGACTCAGAAAGTAGGATCCAAGGCAGATTACCGAGGACAGGTCCAGAGAAATCGTAACCGCTTGTCAGGGTATGATTAGTACAGAAGGAAATGGGATACCTCTTGGTATGGAAGGAAAAAGGCATCTGAGGAAAATATCAGCAGGTACCCCAGCAACCAGACAGTGAGGAAACGTCACCCCTCTCTGATTGATTGGAGCTAGAAACCTCATGATGGCTCTCAAGAAAAAGTCACAGGGATTTTTACCACGTAAGAAATTTAACGTGGGAGAGGGGCCAGAGGATAAACTAAAGTATGACCAGGAAGTAAACGTGAAATTACCAACGATAATATAAAATAAAAGGGGACTCACTCTACTTTTCCTGGCCCCATTTTGACTTATTTAGGAGGAGGGGCTGTAGAGACTGATTTCTTGGTTAACTATATGTAAAACGGAAGTGTACTATGTACACAGGGGAACCAGTAGTTGGGGACACTGGCTTTATTGAGCCCAGGACTCTAAGGATGTTAAGAAAGTACATACATAGGTAAAGATAAACAAGTGTGAGGTTCCCTACATGAAGGATTGGAGGCTTCCAGGAGGCACTCTTCTTGGAGATAAGGGAATTAGCCTGGCTTTAAAGGCTGCTTAACATTCGTATGGAGGAAGGGAGGTTAGAGATGGATGCCATGCATCCCTTCATTCAGTGGATTTATAGTTAGCTTCTAAATGCTAGGCCCTCTTCCAGACAAGGGGCAGATATTTGACTAACAGGTGGGAGAAGAGGGAAGGACAATAGACAATATTGTCAATATTGTCAATAGACAATAAGTCACAGTGATTAATCTTGGGAAGATAATAATGATCAGAGTCAAGCACATGATAGCAGGCCAGTTACAAGCCATTTAATTCTGTGACTTCACTTACATTGAGGATAATTTTGAGGTCAAAGTTTGGTTGGATTTAAAGCAGCAGGTTAAGGCATTAAGATGAGGCTATTCCTGAACACACACTGAGTGAGCAAGGGAATTAGAAATGTAATCAAAGAGCTGACGGGGAAAATGCAGAATAGTTCAGAGAGTAGGTGCCGATTCTGAGGAATAATGTTAATGATGAAACTTTTTCATAATTGTGCTGCCCGCACCAGTTTCGATAGAATTCCATGTATTCATCGACTTCATTTTGACCATTTTTTTCTTTTTAAAGAAATCTTTCTGATGTTGTTTGAAGCATGCAAACTGATTTTCTAACTCCTGTGTAGCGATTGGCTAACAATTCTTACTTTGCTGCCATCTGTGAAGAACTCCTATTTATGTGTGAGGTTCTCCATTAGGAATAATTCGGTAGTTCTGTAAAGGGTAGTTCCCCAAACAGTTTGCTTTGATGGCCTCATCTACAAGAGCTTCCGAAACAAGTGATGTGCAAATAGTATAGGTAAACCATTTAGGTCACTATCAGATAAGTCAATTAGGGGAATGATTGATGCCCAGATTTCACCTCACAAATTTTAAATTACTTTGTGCTCTATGAAAGACCTTGGGTGGCCCCACGAGCCCTAAAGCTCGGCTGTCTAAACCCATCCATTGGCACCATGGAAGAAAGTCTGGTTTTGTAAAGAATATAGCTGCTAATACCCTGGGGGACGGTTCTGCTTTGTAACTCATGCAATGAGTTGCATTGAATTGCAACCATGCAGTGGTTGCCGTGGGTCTGAATGGACTGTATAGCAGTGGGGTTTGGTTTGTACTCTGTGTGCTTGCTATGCATCGAGCTACTAAGCACAGGGTCAATAGTTCTAATCTACCAGCCACTCTGGGGTAGATGGTAGAGGCTGTTTACTCTGGTGATGATGTGCAGTGTCAGAAGCCCAAAGGGGCAGTTATACTCTGCGCTGTAGTGTTGCTGAGTTGGAATTGACAGGATGCCACCGAGGTGGGTTTTTTTTTTAAGTTGGATGCTTAATTGTGTTTCCTTACAATTTTGTAGCGGGTCTGGTGATCCTACTGGCAATTCTTTTTTAAGCTTATTAATTTTTAATACTTTTCTAAAAATAGTGGAGAACTAAAGTAAAAGTCAGTTCTGTAATGAAGCAGAGTAGATATTTGGTGCTGTGGGATTTGACTGCCTGGGTGTTTTGTTTTTTTTTTAATTGTTTTGATTGTTACTTGGAGCATATTCTTTGCAGTGTTAACCGAAAACAAGCCGTAGGGACTATTTCAAGATCTGGGGTTCATTTACAAAGTACTTGTCTAGCCCTCCTTAAGTAATATGTGCCCTCCACTCTTCTTGCAGTTTTAAACTTTTAATAAGTTTCAAAGATAAAATTCAGGTAGAAGACGCCAACAGGGGCTTATATAAATCAAGTAGGTGTGCATTTAGAATCAAGTGCCTATAGTTTTTCTTTATACACATAACCAGTATATAACCTTGGGATAAAGCTATGCAAAAGAAAGTAAGAGGAGGTAGGAACTTAAGCATTTCTTTTATCCTAAACTAAAATACTAGATTTAGGAAAAACATAGTAGATACGTATGTTAGGGGTCTGTACGTGTGTGCATAAAAGCTAGTGATGCATACTTTTCAAAGGTACTTGGAAAAACCAGTAAACCCCAAACCAAATTTCACTGCCCTAGAGTCAATTTTGATTCAAAAGGACTCTAGGACAGGGTAGAACAGCCTGTGTGCATTTCTGAAGCCTCCTTTTTTTTTTAATGTTTATTTTTATTTTATTGACTAGGCTTTCAACAGTTTTTTTGGTACATAATCCATATACAATACAATTTAATAGTTCAATCATATAAAAAATAGTTGTACACTCATTACCACTATCAATTTTAGGACATTTTCTTCTTTTTTGTATACATTATTATTAGTTCCCTATTCCCCTCCTTTACCTCACCTGTCCCATCCCCAAGAAATAATTAATCCAGTTACTGTTTGAATACCTTTCTCTGTCCTGGATTTCATATACAGCAAAACACACTAAAATGCTAACAACAAAACAAAG